CATAAAATGTTATTAATTTAAGCATACAGGATGTGTTTGTTATTTATTCTCCATTCAGTATTTGAAATAAATTTATTTATTAATTCAACAAATATTTGTTGAGCATATACTACATGAAAAACACTGTACTGAAGACTGATAAGTGACATGGGTCTAACTGAACAAGACAGATAGCAACCTGCCCTCCTGGAGCTTAATATTTGTGGAGAATACAATACAAGCAACAAAACAAATGCATTATTACAAATTATGATGCACAATATGAAGAAAACAAACAGAAACAGGTTGGGGCTGCCTTGGATAGGAGCAGGAGGGTAGGACCATCTGAGGAGGCGGGCTGTGCATGGCCCTAAAGATGGGAAAGACAGCCAGGGGAAGAGCATCTGGACGGAGGCCCCAAAACTGTTAGCACAAGGACTGGCTGTAAATTTTGATAAGTCCATTTAATAAACAAATGAAAATGTGACCCTGGCTGGGGTGGGAGAATCAGTTTCCACCCCAGGGGCTCATTATCCCTACCCACGGCAGATGGGAAACCCCACAAGATTATGACCTCTGTCCTGGGACGTGCTTAATATCTGCATTGGGCCAGACAGGATGAGAGACCCTGCCAAAGGCACCATGGGCTCCCTAGTAGGCAGAGAAGACTCTGCTGTGCCTATACAGAGATGCCACCCCAACACGCCTGACTCCAGCCCTCCTTATCACCCAACCTAAGCCCCTTTCAGGGGTAAAGGACAATGGCAGAATGTGGGCTTCCCTCTGCCACTGTACCTGGCCAGGGAGGAAGGGGATGGCAGGAGGTGGGAATACAGATTTGGTGAGGCTCCCAGTCCAGTACAGATGGCATGTCCCATTATCCCATCTAACTTCACTTAAAGAACACAGATTCAACACGGTGACAACAGTGCATTACACCCAGGCACATGGCTCCTTCTGGGAGCTGGGTCCCAGGTGACTGCACTGTCTCAGGCTCCTTGGGCCAGCCCTGCTCAGAACTGACAGGAAGCAAGCCTCTTACAGTGAGCAGAGACAGGGTCTGAGATGGGGCAGGGGCCAGAAAATGGGTCACTGAAAAGACTTTGGGTGTTGCTTTTAGTTCAGGGAAACCACCAAAGAGAAGAAGGAGAGACATGACTACTGATGGCAGGGGGAAAAATAGTGACTCAAACTCTGGCAGAGGCAACAGAAGAGAGACAGATAGATGTGAGACATTGTTTTGGAAATAAGGAGGAAGAAGTGGGAGGTGAGGAGGTCAGGAGGTATGAATCCTGAGAGAGGGAAGGTTGAACTAGGCAGGTGTTGAAGTCACAGGGAAGGAAGACACACACTGTGGGCTGGAGGAAGTGAGGGAAGCTCCAGAAGCCCATCTCAGAGCTGCCTCTCAGCTGGTGTCCTGCCATCCATTCTGCAAACTGTCCTTCTTGGTCACATTGTTTTTGTGTCCGGTGAAGCAGGCAGAGGGAGCTGAGCGTCTCTCTGTTGCCCTAGCAAGTCATATCTCACAAGCCCAATCTTACCCAGCAGATAGTAGCCCAGAGGTCAAGTTGCAGCCTGCGAAGGTTGCACAAATCCACCAGCCCTTCCTCCCATGGCCCTATAGAGATAAAACTGCGTCAGAGTGGGACAGAGGTGAGCCCACAGAAGAGAGTGAGGACCAAGGACGGACAGGAGGGGGAGCAAGTGGGTATGGATGAGAAATCAACCTGCACCTTGGTTACCTTGAGGGCTAAGCCTGTCCTTCCTGTTGCCCCAACCCCTCCCCCTTCTTAGTTCTGAGGACTAAAGGACAGAGCACACAGGCTGTTCTAAGTAAAGAGCTACAGGGTGTTTCCATCTGCATTCAAATACCAATTGAGCAGAACTTCAAGGCCTTCTTTCTGTAAACCATTAAACCAATAAGAAATTTCTAACCAGGGTAGA